AAAAAAAAAAAAAAAAAAAGAAAGAAAGAAAGAAAGAAAGAAAGAAAGAAAGAAACTGGGACATGGGAAAGATAGTAATCTGTTCAATGTCCCATAGATAAGCAGTCGTGGGGCCTAGATTTAGACTGCATACATCTACATTCAGAAACTGCACTCTCAGCCTGGATGCACTACCGCTTCTCTGGTCACTGTAGGCTACAGGAGTATACCCATGCAGAGGACCTGACCAGGGAAGGATACCCAAACCCAAAAGGAGACGCACACACGCACCCAAGATGTAGATAACTTGGCCACCTTTTGGAGTCAGGGGTGAGCAGGGAGTCAATGCAGTTTTAAAGTTTTCTGTGCATCTGTACCCTACAATAGTGCTGGACTATAAAAGTCTTTAGACAGCTGTTTCCAATTTATTTTCTTAAATTTTGCACCCCATCAGTGTATATATTGGGTATACATATCCAGTATGTGCTTATTTATAAATAAACTTCATACAGGCACGGCTGTACTAGCATATTAGGTAATTATACACAAAATACATTTTAAAAGGATGATAAATATAACATTAATGTTTATAAAACAATTATTCTTATTTATTAACAGGACGAATCTATTAATAGCACAAGGTATTACCGATAATGTATTTTTTTCTAAACTTCAGAGAAGTATGGGGGTGCATACAATGAAGTTACATAGTTTGCTTTTGTGAGGTTAGAGTCTGCCATGTAGGTGTGTCCTTTGCCCAGTGAGCGTGTAATACATGGTATACCTACCCATTGGCTGGAAATTTACCTAACCTTTTTCCTCCCTCCCCCCTACTTGAACTTCATGAGTTTTTTTTTTTCCTCTCGTGTGAGCATATAGGTGTTAATTCACTGGTTCTAAATACCTACTGCCAGGTAGGTACTGAGTACATGTGACGTTTGTTTTTCCATTCTTGTGATACTTTGCTTAAGAGAAAGGTCTCCAATTCCATACAGGTCGGTGCAAAAGATGCAAAATCTCCATTTTTTTATGGCTGAATATTATTTCATAATCTCTGAATTTTTGACCTTCATCCTTTTCTGCTCTAAATCAGATTCTAAATAAATTGAGCTTAAAATCAGACCATCAGATCACCCTATCACAAAGGGTTAAACCACGACTTTAACAAAATGAAGCCTGTTGTTCTAAAAACAATACAACAATTGATTGATCCATTCCTGTGTTGAAGGGCACTTGGGCTGTTTCCACATATTTGCAATTGTGAATTGCACCGTTAAAAACTTTCAAAATGCAAATGTCTTTGTGGTAAAATGTCTTTTTTTCCTTTTGGGTAAGTACCTAGTGGGATAGCAAGCTAAGTCTTAGGTCTACGTTTAGTTCTTTGAGGAATCTCCATATTTCTTTCCATAGCGGCTGCACCAGTTTGC